TTACCACCTAGAATTTACCTGTCATTTAGAGGTTACCACCTAGAGTTTACCTGTCATTTAGAGGTTACCACTTAGAATACATCTGTCACTTAGAGGTGACCACCTAGAATACACCTGTCATTTAGAGGTTACCACCTAGAATACATCTGTCATTTAGAGGTTGCCACCTAGAATGCACCTGTCATTTAGAGATTACCACCTAGAAAACGCATGTCATTTATAGTTGGCCAACCTTAATGCTCTAGTTATTTTTTAGACTTGGTTGTTTGTTATTTTCATATATGTATCTCTGATACACAATTATGAATTATGTCCACAAATACATTTATTCCTAAACTGTGTATTGTATGATGTACTCTGAAATGTCTAATGATCATTCTGTTTCAATCATATTTGAATATGTTGGCAATTGTTTCTCATAATTACTAGGCCATTGGTGTAATGACTATTCATATTAAGTTACTGATGTAGTTTTTTTTTTGCAATTCAATCTAAGATGTTCATTTTTTTATCATTCATTATAAATCTGAAAGTCATTTGACACTTTACATGAAACCATGTTAGCATAGGGTGGACGTGTATTTTTTACGCGCATTGTATACATATGACCCACAACGAGCATGATCATTTCATTTTAAACAAATGCCACTTCATATCAAATAACTCGATTGCTGTGTAAAATAGTCTGAAAAATCCATCTCCAAATGTTGCTTGGTAAACATTATTTCTATTGCCGCCAATGTGTCCGGATGTCTTTAGTAACAGCGCCCTCATGAGTTGTTACTGTGATATATATATACATGGGAACAAAAATATGGAGTGAGAAAATTACTTTTACGAAAGTTGTTTGTGCTTAATCGTTGTTAAACAAGCGAACAATGTGTATTACTTTTGGATGGCTGACATAAAAATAGTCTATAAATGTGTTTATTTAAAATCTGCATATTATAGCTCACTGCTTTGTACACGCTGGTATATACCCACAAGGCACTATACTCAGAACCACTGCGGGCGTCAGTGCGAGAGTGGCGGCGTAGGATTGGGTCGAGGCGGTTGATCTTATTTATTAGTTTCTAGTCATTTCACCAGTGCTAATTATTCCGTTCCCCGGGACTGCACTCATGATTTAGTTTTTCGTGTGTTTAATTGCAGGGTATAAGCAATTAAAGTAATCCAATATACTCGTCAATTGTCAAAAATTAGGTTAATGTTGCTGGAAATATTTGTTTTTGTTTCCCTATAAATGTGTGATTTGTTTTCAAATTCATTTCTATAGCAGTTGAATCCAATCAACGAACAAAGTACGCAATGATGTTAATTGGACACGTTATTCCATCGGCGACTTGTTTCAGTTTGAATTTTGAAATTTATAAATAAATATTTATAAAAATGAAGAGAATGGGTTTGTTGTGTCGATAGTAAAATTTAAAAATTAACGCAAATCCGTAAACAAGTTTCCTCATTTTTGAACGGATTGGTGGTTGACCATAATCTGAGAGGGGTCAGATTGGGAGTGAATCTTCACAGAAGAAATTAAAAAAATACAGAAGGGATATCATACTTATAATTATTTATGAAAAAGAAAAAAATCTAAATTTCATCACTGTAATAAACGAAGTCAGATAAATTAATTGTCAAATTTAAAACTGTACAGTCAGTGGCGGTGTTTTTTTTTAATGATAGCAGTGATGTCGGTAAACAGTTGCATAAAGCCCAAGTAATGGTCACCATAATCGAACAATAACAAGACACTAAAATAATATATATGTTCAATAAAAATGACGTCGTTGTATTTTCTCGCGCCAAACGTGATACACAAGTAAAAGTTTTCAAACTTAAAACTTTCTCTGAAACAAGCCTGAGTGAATCACTTATTTATTTTTAACTTCGTGTCGTCATCATACGGAAGTGTGAGCCGGTGTTTTTATTTCATTCGCCTTGATGGAGTGGCTGTCTAGATCCGAACCATTGTATTGGCGAGGGGAATGACTCATGCGTGGACCAGACGACACGCGACCGTCGTGTTGTCATTGCCGTCAAACGCAAGTCACACAAGTGTGCACAATTGTAAGGTGACTGCACTAAAATTGAACAAGGAAAACAAGGAACTCAAACTTTCATTTTCCGCGTCCGATCGCAGTTTGCGAGGCAGTGTGTGTAATTCGAGACAAACATATTCGACACATTATCGTACCTGATTAGTCTCGGTCCCCTATTCTAAATGGTCTGATCCATAGTACGATAGCGAGGCTGTGTGTAATAGACACTGACCTGTGTGAGCTGAGTGTTGTCAATTTCTATTCGAGCATAGCTACGTCTACCGCGGACTTCGACGCAGAGTAAGATTACGCCGAGATTGTCTTAGATTGTAGAATCTAATATTTTGTTTACATAGAACAATCACTGCGACCGTTAATTCAACAGAGGTAAGTTATTGTATCTTGTGTAAATATTTTTCTTTTCTTTTGTGAGCCTTCTGATCACAGACTATAGACATGCTGTGGACAGACACGATTTCCTATCAATTTAGCAAATGACGTTTTCTGTATCACTTAGTAAAATTGCACGGCGCATGTCCGATCTTTTGAAAAATCGCACGACCGTCAATGAAAAAACACTTACAGTTTTAAAGAAAACAGTTACATGTATTGTTATATTTATAACTGTTTGTAGCATTGTTTTTTTTGTTTTTTTTATTGTTATTATTGATCTGTTATTACTGTAATTCTGTTCAGAGGTGGGTACCAGTCATTCCATCCCAATCCAAGTAACTGGTTATCCGAAAGCAACATGGCTGAAAATGGTTATTCCGGTGGATTTGAAGCCACAGAACATTTCACGTTCGATAATCTGAGACGCAATCGTCTCCAAAGAAGCGGTCTTCCCAGTCCTTCACACAGTGCTCATGGCGTATTGATTCGAACCAGCCTCAGAAAATTGAGCTCGGAGAAAAAAGCCAAGAAAGTCCGATTCTATCGAAACGGCGACAGGTTCTACAAAGGTATCGTGTTGGCGGTATCTCTGGAAAGGTTTCGCAGTTTTGAGGCACTGCTAGCGGACTTGACGCGTACATTGAATGATAAAGTGAGTCTGCCCCAAGGTGTTCGTACAATCTTTACAATCGATGGGGGTGGAAAAATTAACAGCCTTGATGATTTAGAGGAAGGTCAAAGCTACGTCTGCGCGTCGACCGATGTTTTCAAACGAATCGACTACAAGAAAACAACCAACCCAGAATGGAAGGTTGGATCCACAACTCCCAAAATGAAACGGAAAGGGGGAGCCACCCCAGGGGGTGCAGTCAGCGGTGGAGGAGGTGGTGCCTTTTTCGAGAATGATAGCATCGATGGTGGTAGCCAGTTAATTTTAGACGAGAGAGATTTCATAAAGCCTAAGTTAGTGACAATAATAAAAAATGGACCAAAACCCAGAAAAGCGGTTCGTATACTTCTGAACAAAAAGACAGCACACAGTTTTGAGCAGGTTCTGAACGACATCACCGATGCCATCAAACTGGATTCCGGAGCGGTACGCAAGTTATACACAGTGGACGGACGACAGGTGAGTTACCGACAACCAATTCGTTCATACAATGTTATCAATTGTCTGCATATAACGGCATGTCAGTTACCGTGGCTGGTGTATTGTGTTACGGTGTGTGTTTTACTCGGCTCCAATTTAGCATAACCAATTATACTACCACACTATTGATAATGTTGAATTGAAATTATAGACGGCTTGTTGACTTGAGTTTTAGAGGCATAAATTACTAACAATAACGCCGTGGTTGGTTACGGAGTACAGAATAATCTGATATGGGTATCTGCATGTAGGTGTATACTGTAATATGTGGCCCACTGTACTCAAGCCAACCTTGAGATGATGCACACTGACTTATTAGCATTCATAACTCAACTACACTAGCCTACTGCAAACAAACGTAAAAATTATAATATATTTTGTATACTATCAGAAGAAACAATTCAATTAAGAAATCATTAAAAAAAATGTCACTGGCCTAATTATCAAATTCTTAATCTTAATTAAGACCCCCTATCCCCCTTGTTAACATTGCCAAGTCTAATTAACTGATTTTGATGTGTATCTGTGTATCTAGCAGTGAATTAAACCAATAAGAAACCGAATAAAATGTTTTTGTGAGTTGAATCATGCTGTGTAATAATTTACATACAGGGGTGACTAAGAGGTGGAATTACGTAATGTTCCCCTGCTGAGAAAAGCTATAATTCCCATGGAAATTGAATATTTAAATGGGGGCGGCGTAATGTATGATATCTAACTCACAAATGGTTCTGTTTATCATTCTTCAGTTTGAAGGTCTTTTATTATTGTAAGATTGTTTAATGCTTGATAAATCAATCACCTACAGTGGACCTCTCAAGTAGAGTAAGAAAGAAATGAAGCATTCTATTTCATTATTATAATTATCATATTCTATGCATATATAATAATCTAATATTTATTTAATAGATGCAATTATTTCTCATTTCCTTTTCGCCAGCTTAATTACCCTAATTAAGTTTTTTAACAATGGAATTTACCATCTCTTGTGCTTAGTCCGATATAAACCCATTATAACTAAATCCAGTTGATGGTTTTTACTGACCCAGAATGGAACTCGTTATTACCGAAATTGTTTGGTAGTTGTGGAGTGCTTGCTTCAAATAACCTGGTTGGTGTGATGACAAATATTTGTCAACAATTTAAGTTAATCCATGCCCCATTTCCTTCTCTATTACTGTGAATTGTATTATTGTATATTCTAAGTCAGATCTCACAAATTTAGCTTGTCTGCTTGGCTGAATTTCACAGAAGTTGTATTTACTCGTGGTCTTGACAATTTGCCCTTATGGAAATATAAACCTGATGACATAAAAGCATTTCTAGATTTCTCCTTTGAGTTTTATATATTGAAACGTTGACATAAACAAAATGAGTCGGCTTACAATACTTGCCCCGTTCCCTATTAATTCAGAATTAAAAATATGACCAAGAGACTAGCAAATAAAACACAAAGCATGTATTTACTTTTACATATGTGTTCTATTTGAAATACATAAATGGTAATTTTTCAAACAACTTTCTGGAATTGTTATTCAATTGCGCAAGCTGTCAGTTTTCAAGAAAATGGCAAAACTTTATATAACCACATGTTATCATAGAGAACATAAAATCACATACTGTAAAATACTTTATATTCGCCAGATTTTATTTTCACTGAATCATTCCTTCATCAAAAACAGTGAAAATAAAAGTATTGTACAATACATAGCAACATGTAGAGAATGCAAGCAAGTTGTTTGTCGGCCATTTTCACAAGTTTACTTCATTATTTGACACTTTGGGGCATAATAAAAATACTTGACTTTGACGTGCAGCATGTATTGTTCTACCTTTGTGGTTGTCGGGTCGTGTCGTGGTGTGGTGGTGTGGTGTGTTGTTGTGTGGTGTGGTGTGTTGTGTTGTGTGGTGTGGTGTGTTGTGTGATGTGGTGTGTTGTGTGGTGTGGTGGTGTGGTGTGGTGTGGTGTGGTGGTGTGGTGTGGTGGTGTGGTGTTGTGTGGTGTGGTGTTGTGTGGTGTGGTGTGGTGTGTTGTGTGGTGTGTTGTGTGGTGTGTTGTGGTGTGTGTTGTGGTGTGTGGTGTGGTGTTGTGTGGTGTTGTGTGGTGTTGTGTGGTGGTGTTGTGTTGTGTTGTGTTGTGTGGTGTGGTGTTGTGTGGTGTTGTGTGGTGTGGTGTTGTGTGGTGTTGTGTGGTGTGGTGTTGTGCCATAGGTGTTAAAATAATAAATAGACAGATTACACAGTTATGCAAAGACTATCTAATGAAGGACCCTACAATGCAGGAAGTCTATCGGTTTCAGACTGTAATTTAATAAGAAGACCTTTTAGTCGACCCACTGGGATATAATTGAATTCTGTTATGTATTTCAGATTAACTCACACCCGCTGGCATTTAGAGTTTCTTACGGTATATAATTTCATTAAAAGATCAATATCAATAGATGTTGTTAATCGAGATAATTCATGTTGAGAAAAATGTAGTGAATTATTATTTATCATAAACTTATTAATTTATTCAGTGCACAAAAAAGTATTATCTTGATGACAAAATTCTGCAAATGCAGACAGTTGTAATTTAAAAATAAATTTCTTCAAAGTCATTAAAACACATTAGCATAATTGTATTGTCCTGTGCTATACCATGATTCCCTCGTTATCTCACAATATGTGCATGCCATTAAAGTTCTATCAACATTTCTGGTTTCTTAGACAATTGGCAGAGGAGAATGTCGATTTATGGTCAAGATTTGAGTTATAGATTGAAGTATTGAATAAAAAAGAATTAAATAACTAGAACTGCAATATTAATTTATGAATATAATAATAATATATTTATATACTAGTATTAAAATTCTTTTCCATAAGGTATTCATCAGCTTAGATTGTTCTATTATTAGCTACGTCCCCAACTGTAAAGTTTGAGGTCAAATCTCATCCTGCCAACTGAAATATTGCTAACAGTAAAAATGTTAGCATTTACTGTGTTGTAAAATGTCAGCAATGGAGTTTGTATCATTAATACAAATACTTTAGGCAGGTGATGGCATTGCTATGGTTTAGCTACAACTCTGCCATTCATTTGGAATGGTACTTCGTTGGTAGGATATTAAATAAATTGTGACAACCCAACTGTTTATGCATCTACATGTCTACACATTGTCGATTTCTTTTCTCCAGTCATCGTACTTCAAGGTTAATTTAACTCTATAAATAAACTGAGTTTTTATTATTGATTTAAGTTGCCTTTATTTTTGTGTGATTGAAAACAGTGTACACTGTGCTATAGAAACATACAAACAACTGTAACAATAGTGGTTGTCAATAAACTTAATACCACTTGTAGCTCCCCTGTAGTATTATCTGTCTGCTGGATATGTGTCTTTCGAAAATTTAATCTCTGGATAAAGATATTGTTATCAAAAGATTTATTGTCATTTTAAATCCCAATTTGACCATGATTACCTAATGTGTACAGTCAGTATTGGTTCAAAACATTACTACTGTTTATACAGGACTTTGTGAAGTTGTTGTTATGGTTGCTATTGGTTACTGCTATGATGGCTCACTTGTACAACTGTTCATTTTTCTATTAATGACAATTTTTTTTTTTGACAGTTATATGAATTACATAATTTAATTATTTGTTTAGTAAGTTATTTCTTTGTTTTTGGAATTATTTTCCAAACATAAAGGTGAGAAAATGATAGTATTTGTTACAGAGAGTGTCAATAAAATTATTTTGAACAGCTTCAAGTACATATTTAAGAAAAATACTTTGAGGTATTGAAATTGGGTCAATGTCGGTCACCAGTGATTTATAAAAAAAAACACCACCTTGATTATTTTAATTTGAATGGAGAAATAAATTAAGAATCATTTTAAAAATAAATTGAAGTATAAAAATGAATCTTGTGGAATAAATGAATATCTGTTGTCGGATATTATCGATGTTACATCGTGTTTATGAGGGTGGAACGATCCATAGCAACTAACCACACTTGAAAAGCATTGTTGAGTATTGTTTGAGCACAATACTGATGGGTTTAGTGATCGTTACTGACGCTGGGTCAAAAGATCACATCCCAGTACAGTATATATCATTCCTACAATGGCCATGGCTGGTATTTGTAAATAGAATCAGTGAGGGAGTTGAGTGGTCAAACCCCCCACATTTTTTAAGATGGATCCTTGACATTCACAACCTTACCAGTAAACTTTATTGTGTCCTGAAGTGTTTGTATTCTACCAGCATATTTTTATTTTATCCAACTGAACTGAATCGTATCTGATGAATATACAAGCAATATTTTATGGTTGATTTTGCTGGTCGCATGTACACAGGTTTAGTTCTTGTAATCTGCTCAACAACCATGAAACCAAAGCAGAGTCACTTGTAATTACTTATATAAGCCTTGCAGGCTGACAGAAGTCACATTGTTCAAATCCCTTATTCCCTATATTCAGTCACAGATTGTTACCATCAGCTAATTAAATCTTGCCTTTCTGTGTATAATATTGTAGAATTTTAATTTGATTCTGTAATATTCAAATCAAATACTATCATTTGTAATCTAAAATATTTTGTTTCTGTTCCATTGTTACAGTCAATCAATTAGAAAAAGCATTTAGGATGATAATTTTTTGAAGTTCAGTTAAATTTTTAATTTTAAGTTTTACCAGAATTATTAATCTCAGTAAATATCTCCAATAAATCTTGCCAAAATTATGTTAATTCAAGAATATTAAAAATTCAAAACTACATGTAGTTGATATTTCAAGTTGTTTTCAAATACAGGTCAAGGGTCAAAGATTAAAATAAGATCACAGCTGATGAATTAATACTGAGTATTCCTGGGAGGATTATATATCATAATGTGATCTATGCCTGTGAGGATAATCCACCACTGTATTAATCCTTTCAGAATTGTATATTGGAAATGGTGTGAAATTTATCACTCGTATTAATGTGTTGGGGATAG